ACTGGCCGACTGGCCGACTGCCCGACTTGCCGATTGGCCGACTGGCCGATTGGCTGACTGGCCGACTGGCCGATTCCCGGACTTGCCGACATCCCGATTTCCCGACTGGCCGACTGGCCGATTGGCCGATTGGCCGATTTCCGGATTGGCCGACCGGCCGACTCCCCGATTGGCCGATTGGCCGACTGGCCGACGAGCCGATTGGCCGATTGCCGATCCCCCGATTCCCCGGCTCCTGACTCGCCGATTGGCCGACGGGCCGATTGGCCGACTTGGCCGTTTTCCCCAGTGGCCGACTGGCCGACTGGCCGACTGGCGGTTTTCCCCGACGGGCCGACTGCCCGACTGGCCGACTGGCCCACTCCCCGGCTGGCCGAGTGGTCGACTGGCCGACTCCCCGACTCCCCGATTGGCCGATTGGCCGACTGGCCGATTGGCCGACTGGCCGATTGGCCGACTGGCCGGCTTCCCGACACTCAGATTGGTTGATTGGCCGGCTTCCCGATTGGCCGTTTCCCCGACTGGCCGACTGGCCGACTTGGCCGACTGGCCAGTTGCCCGACTGGCCGACTGGCCGACTGGCTTTCCCCGACTGGCCGACTGCCCGACTGGCCGACTCTCCGACTCCCCGACCCCCCGATTGGCTGACTGGTAGATCCGCCGATTGGCCGACTGGCCGATTGGCCGACTCTCCGACTGGCCGACTGGCCGATTCCCCGATTGGCCGACTGGCCGATTGGTCGTTTCTCTGATTCCTATACTGCCCGAGTGACCGATTCCCGACTGGCTGACTGGCCGACTGGCTGACTGGCCGACTGGCCGATTTCCCGATTGGCCGACTGGCCCTTTGGCCGATTGGCCGGTTGGACGATTCCCCGACTACCCGATTGGCCGATTGGCCGACTCCCCGTTTCCCCGTTTGGCCGACTGGCCGACTTCTCCGACTGGCCGATTGACCAACCCCCCAATTGGCCGACTTCCCGATTCCCCGATTGGCCGATTGGCCGAGTGGCCGATTGGCCGACTGGACGATTCCCCGACTACCCGATTGGCCGATTGACCGACTCCCCGTTTCCCCGATTGGCCGACTGGCCGACTCTCCGACTGGCCGATTGGCCGACCCCCCGATTGGCCGACTTCCCGATTCCCCGATTGGCCGATTGGCCGACGAGCCGACTCCCCGACTCCCCGATTCCCCGATGAGAAGTCGGAAAGTTCATTTCGGCACCACAAGAATTTTCCGACCTCTTTTGGTGGGAGTGGGTGTCGGACATGTGGGGGCCCTCTAGGGGCTGGTCAGAGGCCCTCGAGCCACCCTGTCCTCTTGCCTTGGCCGCGCGCTTCGCTCTTCAAGCTTCCCGTGCCTGGGCGGCCCCCTTTGCCCGACCCCGCGTGCCCATTCTGGGGGCCCTGCGGCCGCCGCAGTGGGCGACGGTCCTCTGTGGGGGGTGGGGGTCGGGCTCGTGGGGGTGGCCCTTGGGCCGCCCTCTCCCTTTCGCCTGCCCTTGCGCGCGCGGGCGGTGCCACGCGGGCGGAGGCGGTTGTGCGGGGCAAGCGCTCGTGCGTCGGGCCCCAGGAGCGAGCGCAGCCCGCGTCGGGACCGACTCGGTTGTGCCTGGGCGAGGCCGGGCGGGTCCCGACGCTCGCGTCGCCAGGGGGGTCTTCGGATCCCGCCTCCGTGGAGCGAGGTGAGGTCGGATGGGCCGACGCTCGCAGCGTTTGGGTGGGCCGGGGTTCCGCCTCATCACGTCAGGTGTCTGTGACCCACTCCGATCGTGGAGGTGGGGCACCAAGTTCTCGGGAGTGGCGGTAGCCCTGCGCACGGGGCCCCGCGGTGTACCGCCACCCGTAAAAGATGCATCACCGCCATTTCGTGCCCCTTTTTCACTGCCATCGCGCCGCTATATTACGGTTCATCGAGGATGCGCCCCCGTGTGCCGACACGAATGTGTCGACTGTTTTGTTTTGCCAGGCGTCTTTTGCTATTTGGGCCCAGGCGCTCGGCCGGTTCGAACAACCCGCCCGCCGCCCCGGGGCATCAAGTTCATGGCAGTGGCAGGAACCCTGCGCAAAGGGCCCCGCAGGGCCCCGCAGGAACCCTGCGAAAAGGGCATCACCGCCATCTCGTGCCTCTTTTTTACCGCCATCGCACCGCTGTTGGGGCCCATCGAGGGTACCACCACGGAATTTGCAACGATGTGGGTTTGCACCGCGTAGCTGAAATCACATGGGTGGAGCCATGCAACTAGCACCGCGTACGCTACACCTTAAAGCTTGCGACGACGTGGGTTTGGAACATGAGTGGCGCCACGCAGCTAGCAAAACATAGTCCTGTGAGGACGTCTCATGCGAAGCTGCGTTTGGAATGATGCCCGACCAATGAAGTCGCGAGCACGCTTCAAGCAACGCCGCACCATATCCAAACGAAAACAAGCAAACTGTGAGGACGACTCAGGCGAAACCGCGCCAGAGCCAAACCAAACCAGGCAAACGGTGAGGACGACTCAGGCGAAACCGCGCTGGATCCAAGCTAAACCGATTAGATTGTGAGGACGACTCAGGCGAAACCGCGCCGACACCAAACCAAACCAAACAAATTGTGATGACGTTTCGAAACAAACGAGCCCCGAACCAGGCCAAACCGGGGGCCAAACCGTTCAGATTTTGAGGGAGTTTTGAGGATGTCTGATGCGGGGCGCCTGGCCGAACTCAGCCGAACAAGGCCAAACGGCGGGCCAAACCGAGCAAATTCCAGGGATGGCTCAGGCGAAACGCCACAAACGAGGCCCCCCATCCACTCTCGCAGTTCAGGCTCGGTTCGAGGAGTGGATGACCCAAGCCCCCCCCCCCCGCAGTTGGTCCTGCAAGTTGAATTCTACGGAGGCGGGGGGGTGCCTTCCAAAGACGAGCGATTTGGGCCGTACTTGTTTCCGATGTGTGCGCTCCCGCGCCTTCTCCAAAAACAGTCGACTTCAGTGGCTGGGCCGCAACAGGATCTACGCGGCTTGGGCGCAAGAGCATGTATGTGGCCATGGCGACACAACGAGCATGTATCCTGCGAGTGCAGCCGGGGCAATGTTGTCGCGTGAGCAGAAGTATTTGCGGGTTCGCAGCGGCGCTTGGCCATCCACGTGTGATGGGAGCGGCTGCAGGAGTGGGTCGGTCCCGCTGCGGCGTTCGAGCTACTATTTATTATGGGGGGCTGCAGAGGGAGACGTGGCCAGCTGTGATGCTCGAGCTGACGACCTGTAGGCCGTGTTCGTCCTGATGCGCCCTAGTTGCGCAGGACGAAAGACTTTCCTCTTGAGGCGCCTGCGGCGACAAGCGGTTTGCGAGAGAGCATCGGCGCCGCCAGGCGCACAGCGTCTGGGCAAGATGTTTGCAGCAGGCGGGGGTGAGGAGAGATGTACTCATGTTGGGTGCGAGCAGCGTGCGGAGAGCGTTGGTGGAGCCCGTGAAACAACGCGCGACCTGTCTGTGACATTCCGTAACTTAGCATCCATTCCCCAGAAGAATCTTAGCAGCGGCGGGCTTGGATGCCGCAGATCCGATTGCAGTCCGCCAGCTGGTTTAATTCAGCAGTGTAAAGTAAACATCGCGTATAGTCGGATTCGCGTGAAAACAAACAAAGCGTAATTCATATCCACAATATCCGAAATCGATCCGCGCGGAGGGGATTGGTTCCATCGCATGGCAATTCCAAACCCAATTCGAATCCCAGCTTGGTCCGCCAAGGTTTATTTCCATGCGCCTTGGCGCAAGAGCTGAAGGCATCGTGTATGGGCCCAAGATTAAATCACTTTCGTTCCAGGGATGTATCTAATCGTCTTCGTTATTTTGTTCTCCCTTCCTCTTCCGCGTCCTGCTCCTCTTCCCCTTCTTCGTCTTCTCTGATGGCGGCGACGATGCCGATAACGAAACAGACGAATCTGACAGGAATCACGATGATGCTAATCATGGTGATGTTGTTGATGATGGTGACGATTCTGATGGCGATGGAGGTGATGATGGTGATGATGGTGGTCGTGATTGTGATGATGGTAGTGATGGTAGTGATGATGATGATGATGATGATGATGATGATGATGATGATGATGATGATGTTGATGATGATGATGATGATGATGATGATGATGACATTGGTGTGGTGGTGGTGGTGGTGACGAAGATGATACGGATACTCATGATGAGGATGCTGAAGATGATGCTGATGATGATGATGCTGATGATGCTGCTGATGCTGATGCTGATGATGCTGATGCTGATGATGATGGTGCTGATGCTGATGATGCTGCTGATGATGATGGTGATGATGATGATGCTGATGATGATGATGCTGATGATGATGCTGCTGCTGATGATGATGCTGACTATGATGATGATTCTGTTGATAATGTGTGCGATGGGGATGAGGCTGAGGACGATGAGGGTGATGACCAACAGGAGGAAACTATGAGCTCACGAGGAGGAAAGGAGGAGGACGATGGGGTACACTTTGAGGACAAGAGGAGCAAAGGAGGAGGATGAGGAGGAGGAGGTGGAGGTAGAGGAGGAGGGGGAGGGGGAGGAGAAGACGATGAGAAGGAACCAATACGGACAAGAGGAGGAAAGTTGATGGATGTGGAGGAGGAGGAGCAGGAGGAGAAGGAGGAGGAGGAGGAGGAGGAAGAGGAGGAGGAGGACGAGGAGGACGAGGAGGACGAGGAGGAGGAGGAGAAGCAGGAGGAGGAGGAGGAGGAGGAAGAGGAGGAGGAGGAGGAACACCACGAAGCGGAGGAGAAGCGCGAAAAGAGGAAGGGGAGGCCGAGGAGGGGGGGAGGAGGAGGAGGAGGAGAGGACCCCTGCCCCCCCCCCCCCCTCCGCTCCCATCTCCCCCTCTGCCCTTCCCCTCCCCTGCTCCTTCCCGTGCCCGCGTGCCCGGGTGGTCGCTTCGCGCCCCCCCCCTCGCTCCGCGCCCTCGCCTCCCCTGGTGCCGTGCCCGCGGCCCGCCCGCCGCCGAGGTGGCGGGCGGCGAGGAGAGCCTGCAGGGCCCGGAGGGCAGCGCCGCGACGTTCCTGCTCGTCTGCGACAGGCGGCCGAGAGGGGGGTGATGACTACAGTCGGGGCGCTGAAGAAGGAACCCTTTTCGTTGGGGAGGGCCTCGGTGTTCCTTGAGTGTTCAACAGTCTGCCCCAGGTTTTCCTGAGGTCTTCCATTGGAAGTCGAAGTTTGACTCATGGGTAACAGGGGCCTCGTGCCTTGTTTCGGGTTCCTTAGGTCAACGCCCCGGCTGTAGGGGGGCGGCCAAGAGGGGGGTGATGACTAGGGGGGGCGGCCAAGAGGGGGGTGAGAGGGGGGGGGCGGCCAAGGGGGGGCGGCCAAGAGGGGGGGGGGCGGCCAGAGGGGGGGGGGCTGGATATCATGGCGTGGGCCATGATACTTCCCCAGGTTTCATGGCGCTCCTTCTTGTTTCGTGACGTCACTGGCCCCCCCCCCCTTCAGCCGCGCACCTGCCGCTGGCCATGATTTGGACCCCCCCCCTCTTGGACGCCCCCCTCCTTGGACGCCCCCGAGAGGGGGGGGGCACGCTGATGTTGATGCCGTTGCTGGCGCTGCTGATGTTGCTGGCGGGTGATGAGAAGTAGGAGGCGGAGGAGGAGGAGGAGGAGGAGGAGGAGGAGGAGCAGGAGGAGGAGGAGGAGGAGGAGGAGGAGGAGGAGGAGGAGGAGGACTGCTTCCTGGGCCATCTCCCGAGCTACGAGTGGGGCCCTTCGCGCAAGAGCCTCGACGGCGGGGCATTCGCATACATCAGGCATCCGCACTCCGGTTGTGAAAGGGTGCTGACAGTTCTCGCTGGAACGCTCCCTCACTGAGATGGCGCAGCGACCCCTTGGCCACTGTCACGTCCCCGGGGTGAAACCGGCCAAACGCCCGCGCCGAAAATTGGGATTCTCGGTTCACCCCTCATTTCCTTCTTGGTGCTGTTTGCAGTGTTCTCTTGTTTTCCCGGTTTGGCAACAACCTTCAGGAACGTGAGGATTTACCGCTCCCTTGATCAAACAAATAACTCAGGATGAATCGTTACAAGAAGAGCTGCGGGCCATCCGTGTTGCACGGTGGCCGTGGAGATTAATATCACCTCGCATCCGCAGACGGGATGGGGATAAGTTTGAGCACGATCGCTGTGTCATGACCTCGGTACCCTCCATCCCGAAAGAGAGATTGGCGGTGCCCCGTTTGTCTCATCCGCAGCTCACGCTGGGACCCGCTTGCGCTAGTGGCCGCGTACCTGTGGCAGTTGCTCCGCCCTGTTCTTACCCTGCATCTGCAGTTGCTTCTCTCGCCTGTCTTCTCTCATCGACTTGTGGATGCGTGAGGGCATGGTTTCAGAGGGATCCGTACGCATCAATAAACCACTTGCTCTTTGTTAGGGCACCTTTGGCTCTTTTCGACACACGCACCGCTTCGCGAATGCTGAGGACGTGAAGACCAGTCATGCTACCCTGGCTCTTCGGGGTCACAGTGTCCACCGCTGAGGAATCACGGTAGTGCCAATTTTGAACAGTGTATTTTTCGCCCAGGTAGATTTTACTACATCCGCCCATTTAAGCCTTGCGTGATCATTCATCAGGGATAAGCCCGTGTGGTTGTCCTTGACGTTTGGCTCTCTCTGTGCTCATAGTCCCGTACTCAGACAGTCTGCAAATCGAAATCCAATCAAGCCAATTTCTGCCACGGCTCCTTGGGTCTTGCGGACATCGCAGCCCTGATCAAACATGTGCGCAGGTACCTCACGATTCGAAACGTCGCCTGAAGCTTCTTCAACAGGCCGGCAGTTGAGAAACACAGCCAGGGGGGAAACACGTCGAATTCATTTCTCGGATCTGGCTTTCCTCTGGTGGTTTCTTGCGACCTGATGTCAAATGTTGCAACCCGTCGCGCACGAGACAGCCTCGTCTTCGCTTGTTCGAGGCAGTCTACGAATCAATGATTTAATCGCTTTCCTCATTCCGCCTCCAATATTGCACCAATGTAGGTCTATGTTGGTGTGCCCATGACGGGCGAAAAGGAGGATCGGGAACTTGATATGGGAGGTGGAGGGGGAGCAGGGGGAGGAGGATCAGGAGGATGATGATGATGATGATGATGATGATGATGATGATGATGATGATGATGATGATGATGATGATGATGATGATGATGATGATGATGATGATGATGATGATGAGGAGGAGGCCTTTCGACGGCTTCTCGGGGAACAGTGGGGACCAAGCTGGGTCGCGGACAAGACGCCTCTTTGGAAGGCTTCTTGGGGTCTCTTGAGAGGCCCCTCGGGGGCCTCTTGGCGGCATTTTTGGGACGTCCTGGGGCATCTTGGAGGCCCCGTGGGCCATCCTTTTGGGCTTCTCGGGGCCTCGTAAGGTTTCTTTGGGGCCTGCTGGGGTCTCGGGGGCCACTTTTTGGGGAAGGCTCGGTATTTCTGTTCGGGTTCTCCCTCTTGGGGCGCTCAGGGGAGCCTCT